ATTTAAAAAGAAAAAAATATATAGCCACACATGGCTATTGTATGTGCTCCAATGTTTGTTCCCATTTCCATATTATATAATGCCCACTTCACAGATGAAGAGAGGCCGAGCAAAGGAATGTGTTGGCTCTAAAGTCACACAGCCTCCAAGTAAGCCTAAATATGCAGGTCTTCCTCGCTGATGTTGCCCAGGAGAAGCTTAAACAACTGAGATGTATAAGCCATGAACCCACTTACATGACAGCACTCTAGTTTATGTGAATTTTTCCAATTTTTAAAAAGGATTTTTACATTATAGTTGATATAAAAGATTATATTAGTTTCAGGTGTACAACAGAGTGACTAGACATACAAACCTTACAAAGTTATCCCCATGGTAAGTCTAGGGCCCCTGTGACACCTTACATAATTATTCCAATATTATTGACCACATTCCCTCTGCTGTACTTTACATCCGTTACTTATTTTATAACTGGCAGATTGTACTTTTTCATTCCCTTCATCTTTTACACCCTCCACCTCCTCCACCCCCATCAGGTTCCCTACCAATTTGTTCTCTGTATGTATGAGCTTGTTTCCATTTAGTTTCCACATATAACTGAAAACTGATGGTCTTTTTCTTTCTCTGTCTGCCTTTTGTCACTTAGCATACTATCCTCTAGATCCATTTTGTCACAAAAGGCAAGATTTCATTCTTTTTATGACTGCATAATATTCCTTTGTACATATGCAGCTCATGTTCTTTATCCATTCATCTACTGACAGATGCCTACGTTGCTGCTTGTGCTGAATGGAAGGGCATTTGGGAGAGATTGCAGGGTGTGCCAGAAGCAGGCCATCACTCCTGTAGAACGTGAGGGCTTTTCGGAGAGACTATGTGGGCTCTTGTGAAGGGTCTGGAGCTGCTGGAAGAGGCTCCAGCAAGGTGAGCTGTTTGGATGGGACAAACTCTCAGGGAAAAGCCAGAGCAGGGCAGACAGTGTAGGCCAGGTTAATAGAGAGAGAGATTTTGTGCCTGCCTGCTCAGGGCCAGCTGGGAGAACTCAACAAAGGGACAATAGCACTCTGTCCCCTGAGAGAGTTCCTACCAATCCCTGCCCCTCTAGCCTGTGCCCTAAAGTTAGTCCATTGAGTTCCTCCCCTTAGGTCCCAGGCACTTCTGGAGCTGCTGCCTCTGTGCTGGAGCTCAGAGGGGGGGAGTTCATGTGAACTCTCTGCCTACAGTGTTAGGTCTCCTATAACTCTTCCTCCATCTCAGACATAATCCCACTGGTGCCCAAAGCTGGATGTTATAGGAACTCTCGGCACAGGTGCCCTGTGCTGTGGAGCCTGAAGTGGGGTTCAGACCTCTGGCTCTTTAGGGGGGACCTGTGAAGCCCAACTATCCCTCCCATTCATTCATCACCACACAGGGAGTGTGGGACCTGCCCTGACCCCATAGTCACACTTACCTGTGTTAATGTGGTTCCTTCTTTATAACCTTAGAGACTTCTATTCAGCTGGTCTTCAGGTGGTCTCAGTGACCTTTGTGCAATAATTTCCACCCGTTCCTGGAAAGAGGTGAGTTCAGGATTTATCTACTTGGCCACCTTGATTCCTTGGCGCTCTCCCCTGGAATTTTCCCTAACTTCTACTGGCTCTATCATTGTTGCCCAAAATGCCATATAATACTCAGAAAGTTCAAGCAACAAAGTTCTGATTTTCTCTTCCGCATAAATTTCCAGAGGATTGTACTTACGCGTGAGTTAGGAGGTTTCCAGCTCCTCTGATGGTTTGTCACCGATCCTTCCCTCAAGGGTTTTTATACCAGTAGATAAAGACAAATTCCTTCCAGCATTCCATTCTTTATCTCTTTGCCACACCTGGACATCAGACCTTTGGGAAGTATCTTTGAAAGTCAGACTTGTCCAGTCTGACTGGACTATAAGGAGATATTAGTGGGCGGGAACAATATTTGTGCTCTGCTATGCTGTTTTTGAAAGATTCAGCACAGAGGGTGATTTTAGGTCAGACTCTAGACCTGCAAGGCCATTTTTTAAAACTTTATTTATTTATTTATTTACTTACTTACTTATTTATTTTTACAGATTTCAGAGAGGAAAGAAGAGGGAGAGATAGAAACATCAGTGATAACAGAGTATCATTAATTGATTGCCTCTTCCACTCTCCCCACTGGGGATCAAGCCTGCTACCCAGGCTTGTGCCCTGACTAGGAATCAAACTGTGAAGTCTTGGTTCATAGGTCAAACTGTGAGCCACACTGGCCAGGCTAAAAGGCCATTTTGAGACTGTTTATATCTGAAGGGATCTTAAACAACCAGGGCCAACTCCTCAATTGATAATGAATAAACTGAGAGTCAGAAAGAGGACCAGAGGATGGGACCCACAGAAGACACACTGTGGGGCCGACGCAGAAGAGAAAGCTGAGTATGCCTGCTCCTACTCAACTCTTCTTGTCACTTAACAAGCATTATTTCACCAAATATTCATTGAGTACCTCCTGCTAAGCAACCATTATCCTTTGCTAAAACAAAGAAACAAACATATAGCCTTTAAAGTTTAAGTTCCTCAAAAGTTTAGGAAAACAAGCTGCCACCTTAATTAAAAATGATGTATCCCTTGTTGGTTTTGCTCAGTGGATAGAGTGTCAGCCTGTGGACTGAAGGGTCCCAAGTTCGATTCGGTCAAAGGCACATGCCTGGTTTGCAGGCTGGATCCCCAGTAGAGGCATGCAGGAGGCAGCCAATCAATGATTCTCTCTCTTCATTGATGTTACTGTCTCCCTCTCCCTCTCTGAAATCAATAAAAATATATTTTAAAATGATGTAGAGTTACACTTTGCTTCACTATAATTGATATGCATCTTTCAGATGTTAATAGCAAGTCCATTGAACCTGGAGATTTTGAACTTGTGTATGACAAAGATGTATGGATGAAAGGGTCCACTTGCTAACCTGACAAGCTTGGGGAAGGCCTGCATGGCGGTTCTGCAAACTCAAAGACCTAAAGTAACCACAAAGGATGGTCTGAAATTTAACTAAAAGCAGTTCTGGTGGGTAGTCACATCCTAGGCCGGTATCTTCCCTGACAAGGTCAATCTTTACCTTAACTGAGCCTATAGTCTTTTTGCATCTACCACAACATAGAAAATAAATCTAGATACCGTATCATTGAAATGTCAGGGTTACTTGTAACTTCCCTTTTTACCAGACTCCTCAGGGCACATCAAATGCCCTGTGTGCCAGGACAGATACCACAAAATCCTTCATTGTTACTGTTATCATGTTAATTGTTGACTGTAAACTATCCTGTACCCACCTAAGCAAAAGAAGTATATGCCTATAATTTTCCTTTTTTTAAAAAATAATTCTTTATTGTTGAAAGTATTACATATGTCCCGTTTTTTACCCCACTGATCCCTTCCAGTCCATTCCCCTCCCCATACCATCCCACCCCCACTCCCCCCACTCTCTACCCCAGGGCCCTCATCACCCCATTGTCTGTGGCCCTGGGCCATGCATGTATGCATAAAAGGTTCTTGGTTTATTACTTCCCACCCACCCACCCTCCCCTCATTTCTCTGACTGATGTATTTCACTTAGCATGATACTCTCCAGGTCCCTCCATGCTGTCTCAATGGGTAACATATTCTTTTTTACTGCTGCATAGTATTCCAGGTATAAACGTACCAAAGCTTTTTATCCACTCATCTACTGATGGGCACTTGGGCTGTTTCTAGATCTTAGCTATTGTAAACTGTGCTGCTATGAACATAGCAGTGCATACATTCTTACTGATAAATATCATTTTACTTTTTATCCAATCTCAGAGGCTTCCCCGCTTTGCTTTCTCCCACCTCCCTAATCTATCACCAATGGATTTCATTGTAACCCACTTACATCTCCCCCTTTGACTGTAAAGTATAAAACAAGGTGAAAATCTGCCATTCTGCGGATTATCCCAATCCGTTGAGATTCTGCTTTCCGGCAACTGTTGACAGTTTGGCTCAAAATAAACTCACAAAAATTCTTTACAGGTTTGAATGTTTCTTAGGTTAATAGATGACATCGTCGCATATTTGCTTTTGAATGAACACTTTCTCATGTAACCAGTGTGCCTTGTTGCATTGTCACATGATTGTCAGACACTTCTCTCACATCCGTTTTAGGGAAGTTGGCTGAGTCAAAGAGACTTAATAGCATTGTGCTTTTAGCCAGATAGTGTTAGGGTCACTTGCTAAAGGACTCTGTAACTCTCCCAAGAACCTGGGCACCAAGTGCAAAAGCCTGTGCTAGTAAGAATTACTTAAAATGTATGCTGAGTCCTAGCAGGTTTGGCTCAGTGGATAGAGCATCGGCCTGTGGACTACAGGGTCCCAGGTTCAATTCCGGTCAAGGGTATGTACCTGGGTTGTGGGCACATCCCCAGTAGGGAGTGTGCAGAAGGAAGCCAAATCGATGTTTCTCTCTCATCGATGTTTCTAACTCTCTATCCTTCTCCCTTCCTCTCTGTAGAAAATCAATAAAATATATTATTACACTGTGATTAAGTTACCACTTATCATCTCCAGGGCACTGGTAAGAGCTTTTTGTTCCCCTTTCTGCCATCTGTCCCATTCCAAATAACTGATGGAAAGTAAATCCCACTCTGAAAACCAGGAAACCAGGGTCCCAGTCCTAGCTCACTGCCAGACTTGCTCTTTAAGTTAACCTGTCCCAGTCTTCATTTCTTTCTATGAAGTGGAGGGCAGACCGGAAATCACTGCTACAATGCTTAAATCTTACCATTCTATTATAAGAGAAAAATGGAGATCATCAAACACAGAAGCATGTAAAAAAAAAAAGGTGAAAGTCTATCTTTTTTAAAAAATATATATTTATTGATTTCAGAGAAGAATGGAGAGGGAGAGATAGAAACATCAATGATGAGAGAGAATCATTGATCAGCTGCCTCCTGCACACCCCACACTGGGGATCGAGCTTGCAACCCAGGCATGTGCCCCAATAGTGAATCAAATCATGACCTCCTGGTTCATAGGTCAACACTTAACCACTGAGCACCACTGGCCAGGCTGAGTCTATCTCTTAACTATTTGCCTTTGTGTGGTAACCATATTAACTTGGGTATATTCTTCCAGATTTTTTAAAGATTAAAAAAATTATGCATCAATTGTATATATTATTCTAGAACTTTTTTTTTCTTTTGATTTAGCAATATAGCATTTCCCTCTGACAAGTAACATAAACTTTGTCAGATTAAGGGTTTCATCACTGTTGTATTCCTAGGGACTAAAACAGTGCCTGACAAAGCTGATGCCAGTAAATGTTAACAGTGAATAGAGAGAACAAATTCTCCTGCCTGTCAAACTAGAAGTTCCATGGGGTCAGGGATGTGTCTATTTGGTCTCTCTCTCTGGTCTCAGCATCAGATTACCTGGCATATAGCAAGCCTTAATAAATATTTGTTAAATTAGCAAAACAGCTCAACAATGAAACCACCTAATTCTTCTTACCTGCCTCAGTGTGTGCTGATGGACCACAATAATCAACTATTCCCCTATCAATGAAAAAAGGTTTTGCAAACATCATTGCAACAATCGTCATATATATATATACACCCTTATTTAAAGATTTCTGTGGGTAAGAATCTCCTTTGGAGGGAACCATTGATGTGGTCTACGTGTCTTCTGAAGTCGCTTCCCTCCAGGTGACTAGCATCCATGGAATGCAGCACAGCAGCAGGTTGGTCATCACCGAGGGAGGAGCAGTTTTCAGACTGTGAGGTGCATATTGTCACTGTCTGAAAACAGCCACTTCTGCCTACATAGGAGCACCAATGGAGCTTAGGGTCTGTGAGTTCTCCAAGAAGTGAGGTGGCAGAGCTCTGTCTGAGTGCCCCAATGGAAGGGCTTTCCAGAAAGCTACCTTTCTGCATATTTAATGTTTTCACTCCAAAGATACCTAAGAATTTCTATTATGTGTGAGAGCAGAGGCAACAAATAAGGAAGGCAGAGCTAGTCTCCACAGTCTTGGAATGGAAGCTTAGGGACCACTGTCTTCCCTCCAAGGGATCTAAGGCTGACTAGTACAGATTGCTGCAGCCCTTCGTCTTCCTTCCACCAGGAAACGGAATAGGCATCCCAGTCACTGCTTCTTTTTCTGTGAAAAACATGTCCCTGGTTCTCTCCTTGAATGGAGAAGTTGGTCAGAGATGTTTCCCTTTGAGTTCTCCCCAAGCAGAACCTGACAACACACATGAGTGCACTTCCTTTTTCCCCAGGAGCTCCTGCCACACCACGGCTTGCTGAGCCGGCTTCTTCACTGGAGAAGGAGAGTGTTAAGTTGGTATCTGTAGGAGAGCCTTCATTCAAAGAAGCTTAAATGTTGAGACTCAAAGGAAATCTTCAAGGCCATCTAGTCTACTCCAGGAGTTCCTTCACCTTTTATGAGTCAACTTTCTCTTTGAAATCAGTGGCCCCTTTAGACTTTCTGTACCCAAAAAGGCATGCATATAGCTCAGCATGTAATTCCCCCCCACCCCCGCCCCACCTTCTCAGGAGCTTCGTGGACACATCATGGGACTGAAAATCCTGGAATTCAGGAGTCCCCACATTAAGAATTCCTACTTCACAGAGAAGCTCATTTGAGTTCTAATGCCCTGATTAGTAGTCTCTGAGTTGAGTAACCTGTTGGCTGGAATGCAGAGGTAAGGTAGTAACAAGTCTGAGTACTGGGTAGATGATGGTTCAATCCTTTTGTGAGCTTATCCTCAGAAACTGGATAAAGAATGCTGGGTAGCCGCAGGCAGAACCTTAAAGTCAATCAGCTGACACATCTGATCGCTTTCAAAGAAGACAATACAAGCTCCCGAATGAAGCTGGGTCTGATGGCATAGAAGGGTGAAGACCCGGAGTTGTCAGGCTTGCTACTCACTAATGACATAGCAGTAATCCGCATACGGGTCCTCCAGTTCATATAGGTTCTCCTCAATTGTATAGACGTTTTCCCTTGAGCGCATCCCCTCTGCTACTGTATTTTCTAACCCTGAGGGAGGAGGGAGGTTGGCCAAAGTGATGAGGCTGTGGAAATAAAATGTCGCATTTCAGGTAAGCATTTCCCAGGAGACATAGAACAAAAAGAGAATAGGCTTTGCTGAAGACATGCCAACCTAATGCAGTACATGATGCTTGACTGGGTCCTGACTGGGGGAGAAACCGTAAAACAGAATAATTTGAAGAACATTAAGACAATTTGAATTACTCTTTAATTTCCTTAGGTGTAAAAATGGCATTGTTGGAAACAAAAAACAATGGCATTGTGTAATCTAAGAGAATATCCTTATTCAGATGAGATACAAACTGAAGTTTAGTGAAGTGTCAAGATATTGTAATGTCCTGAAAACAGTTCAGAAAAAACATACACGTGTGTATAAAAAATAGATAAAGCAAACATATTAAAATGTTAAATTACACATCTTGGTGAAGGACTCTACTATTCCTTGTATCATTAGTTCAGTTATTTTGTGGGCTAGAACAATTTCAAAAAAAAATAAATAATGTTATGTATCCAATCAGATTTGAGTTTGAATTTTATCCCTGTCACTAAACCAGTCATGTAATCATGAGTTTTGTTATTTCATTTGCTCGGGAACTATTTAGTGTGTTACACACTGTTTCATGCAGTAAGAGACACAGCAGTGAATAAAACACACATCCCATGAAGGTTACATAGTAGAAAACTTTGTCTCAGGATCCTCATCTGTAAAATGGGAATAATTAGTACCCAATCTGACCAGGCTGCTATAAGGAGCATTTATTCATTCATAATAAAATACTGAATACTTAGTGCCTACTAAGTATCAGGTGCTGTGCTAGGGGATACAGTTGTTAATGTGGCAGACAAGTTCCTTATTTTCTATGGCGTTTACCTTTATAAGTAGAGATGAACATTAACCAAATGGTGTGACAAATAATGAATTAATGCATGTAAATGTCACTATTAATGTTATCACATTTCAGGTTTCAGCTCTATGAAAGAACAGTGACACAGTTAATCTAAAACCATTGATACATATTTTACTTGACCTTTTTTTGGCTTCTGACTATTTACTATAGACTGACTATTTTGTTTTCATAAGTATATTGTCTCTACTTAGTCTAAAATTATTATTAGTGTAGATAGTATTCAATGGACAGAGTCTTTTTTTTTCTTGATACACACTGCATTCTACCAATGTACCAAATGTTGCTAAAATGAAGTAAAAGTTATGTACACTATATGTATTTGGAATTGGGGTGTATGCATATGTGTGTATGGAACTATGTGCAGATAGTCAGGAATGGACACTAAGATTGCAATATAAAGGACCAGTTGTTCTCACCCCTATTTGTACATTAGAATCACTTGGGAAGCTTTACAAAAATATCTATGCTTAGACTTTATCTATAAAGAATCTGGTTTATTTGCTCTGGGGATGACAACAGATTGTGTAAGTGACTCTAATGGGTTGTCAAAGTTAAGAACACCTGGACTGGGCTATAAAAGCCCTGAGAGCAGATTCTTGGTTTCTTGTTTACTTATGGGGCACAGTGCCCAACCAGAGCCTGAATATAGTAGATAATCCATCAATTGAAGAGTCAGTCAACTAAAAAGGCTGATTAACACAGAAAGAAATATGCACTTCCTGAAATGGGGAGATGACTTCTATACCTTAACTTTAGGACTAAGGAAGCTAGAGAGATCAGGAAGCAAACAGAGGAGCATGTTTACATTTCATTAATCCTAAAGATTAGATCCCAGAGTCTCAGAGCAGGACTTCTAAAAGCAAAGATCAAAGCCATATTGGTGTAGAAACCTCCAAGATTCCCACCTTCTTTCACCTCATCCCTTATTCTTACCTGGAATTCTGTAACTTCTCTTTCCTATGAGAATACCCTGGGTAAAAAGGTGAAGAAAAGTCAATTAAAATTGCTTTCATAAATTTTTTTTAAAAAATGGGCTCATAGGAGGCAAGGATTATTTAAGAAAATCTGGTCTCCCTTAAATTGAATTAAATAAAACTACTAATGTGTGTCTTGGTTTATTGCATGAATTACCGTATGCTTGAAAGTAACAAAGATTCATTTTTCATATTATTTTAGATTTTTTTTAATTGATTTCAGAGAGGAAGGGAGAGAGAGATAGAAACATCAATGATGAGAGAGAATCACTGATTGGCTGCCTCCTGCATGCGCCCCCTACTGAGGATCAAGCCTGCAACCCGGATATGTGCCCTGAATGGGAATCAAACTGGGATTCTCCTTGTTCATAGGTCAATGCTCAACCACTGAGCCATGCTGGTTGGGCCATTTTTCATATTTGACAAATATATGAAACACCTACTTTGTGCCTGGCAGTATGCTGAGTAAGCATCAAGGACACAAAGGAAAATTATGAGCCCTGAGTTTGTGAAACTTGTGTTCTACTGAGGGTGGATTTCAAAAATAATAACAACAACAATAATAATTTCTCATTGTGCTGTGATATAAAGGAAACTAACAATGCACTGGAACTTATAACAGAGAAGGTCAGGAAAGCACTCTTGGAAAAGGTGACCTTGAAGGTCAGCTCTGGAAGAGGAGAATGAGTCAGCCAAGTAAAGAGCCAGAAGGAGCATTCCAGGCAGAGAAAACTGAGAAAGACCACGGTGAGTGCCTAAAACTGAAAACATGGCTGGAATAAGAGAGTAACCCAAGATAAGGTCTGAATGGTAGGCTAGAGCTAGATTTATAGGACCTTTTAAGTCATAACCAAAATTTCCATTTTATTCTAGGACCTGTAAGAAATAATGAAAACATGTTTCTCTACACCTACTATGCAGTCTATTCCTTTTTATAAAAAATCCTCACCCAAGGATATTTTTTCCATTGCTTTTTTTAGAGAGAGTAGGAGGGAAGGAGGGAGGGGGAGAGAGAAACATTAACATGAGAGAAACACACTGATTGGTTGCCTCCCTCATGCACCCAGACCAGGGCCAGGGATGGTACCTGTAACCCAGGCACGAGCTCTTTACCGGGAATCACAACTAGGACCTTTCCTTCAGTGTACGGGCCAACACTGTAACCATTAAGCAACACTGGCCAGAGCCAGTCTAATCATCTTTAGGTATAAATATAAACTTATATTTATACCTAGGTTTATGTGGGTTCCTATATTAGCAGTTCCTAACAGAGGGAAAGACATACAACATCAAGTGACTTACATTTGAGAATTAAAGCACCAAAGATAAGAACCAGAGCCAGCCCAGCAGTGATCCCTGCTCCAATATAGACACTTATTCTGGTGGTCTTGTAACCAGAGTCTTGTAACTCATCCGCCAACGTGTATATTTGCTATAGAAACACAAACAGAATTGCAGCTTATGGCCAGAAATAGGTTGTATGCTCAGCCATTTTCATGACTTATGCATTGGACCATTCTTTTTGCAGCATCACAGGAATACAGGAACCTAGAAACCACCCTTGATCTGTTCCCTTCTCGACAAGCCTCAAAACACCCAAAGAAAAGGAGTATTTAATCTTTGGAGTTCACAAGGGAATAAAATGTGCCCTTCTGTGCTGTGCAAAGAAGGAGCTCTTAGTAAGTGGGCTCCCCTCTCCCACAAAAATGGGCTTGGAGTAGAATCCTCTTCATTCACACGCCTTTGTGTTCCCATAAAGTTTCAGAATGGTCTAAATTTGGTGGCTTGCAGTGAAACCACTATTTCTGCAGAAAAACTGTGACTTAAAAGCCAGACAGTCATGAGTTCAACTCCAAGCTCGGTCCTCAAGAGTTGAGTCATCTTATAGAGTTATTGGGAAATGTAAGTGACAAAAAATACAAAATGCATGGCATAGGGCCTGATACATGATAAATACTTAATCAATAATAGCTACTGCTATTGCTGTAATTAATTTGACTTTTTGATAACTGAGAGTGACACAGAAAATCCTCTCCCTGTAAAATTTCAGTCCATGGTCCCCCTTTAAAACCAACAACAGGAAACACTTTTAAAACAAAGTCAAGGAAATTAAATCTTCCATTTACTCCACAAACATTTACTACAGGAATGCTATTTGCAAGGTCTTGTGCATCAAGTATTATGGGTGCACACTTAAAAGGCAGTCCTTGGTCGCAAAGAAGGGAGAAATACAAAATGAACACACAAGCACGAGATTGAGTTAAATGAATGAGGACCCCCTAGAGAAGTCCTCAAAGAATTTTTAGGTCAATGCTAGAAGTTGGCTTTCAAGAGTTTTTCCTCCTTTACTCGAAGAAAACGGGGGACACTAAAATCATCCTGTTTTTGTTTATAGTTGGATATATAATTCCTGACTGGTATCTTGTCATAAACAAACAAACAAACAAATAAATAAATAAATAAATAAATAAATAAATAAATAAATAAATAATAAATAAATAAATTCAAACAAAAAATAATCTTTCTCCATCGGATTGCAATGGAAGCAAGAAAAAACATGTTCTAGGGAGATGGAGGATCTCTGACTTGCCCACAGTGGTGTACAGCTGTGACCTTTGAGAAGAGGGACACAGTGCTAATGCTGCTCCTTTTTAGTTTTCCAGGGCTGACTCTGAGCCTGGCCTTCACAGGCATCACTGCCTTCCATGCGTACACCAGGCCCACGTTACAGCAGTTAGAAGTGTTATCACCAACATGTTGCAGTCACGGAATCTGAAACTAAGGAAGATTGGGCATTTTTCCCAAAGAAAGAGTGGGCAGGAAGGAAGACTAAAGCCACACTTTCTTTCCTCTGGGTTAAACACAATGTCAGCTCTCACACACACACAGAAGTTACTTACTGTTTGATTTTTATCATGGAGGGTCTCCAGAGTCTTTGTCTCTGCTACAAAGAGGAAGAATAACCAACAGAACAGTTAAAAATATTTTGTGGCTTAAAAGCAGACTTTCCTTTTAGATAGAAATTCTCTTGCATTTACAATGCATTGGTGTACGTACCCGTCAAGACACTGGCTTGCTGCTTTCCACCCAACAGTGGGCAGTGATAGAAAGAATGAACGTGATTCTTAAAGACCTGTGTAAACGCATGAAAGTGCTTCTGAGGAAATGGACAGGTCTTGAGTTTTGTTTTTCTTGCCAAGTCAACTATTCTGCCCTATCTGTGTTGCTTAATATTTAAGTCTAGTTCTAAATATAGATCCGTTGGGGGGGGGGTGAATATTTTCTTTTGCCCAGCCATTGTGGCTCAGTGGTTGAGCATTGACCTATGAAGCAAGAGATGACGATTTGATTCCGAAGTCAAGGCATATGCCTGGGTTGCAGGTTCGGTTCACAGTGTGGGGTGTGCAGGAGGCAGCCAATAGATGATTCTCTCTCATCAATGATGTTTCTATCTCTCTTTTCCTCTCCCTTCCTCTCAAAATCAATAAAAATATATTTTTAAAAGAGTATGTTTTCTTTTATTTGAGTTTTTTTAAAATCTTTATAAGCCTATTTGAAATGAATTCTACTCTATACTTTTTACAATAATTAATTGGGAGACCAACAAATTTTACTGAACACTTATATGTCCATGTTAGGATT